AAGGGACAGTACTCCTTTTGGTTGTGCAGTGGCTGGTGTGATACTTGTGTGTGATGGACTGGTGTGTAACACTTTGCTTCTGAAATGAGAGACAAATCTGAGAATGGTCTTGAACACAGTTGCAGAGAAAGCACAAATATCAAAGTGTAATGGGAACCCAGGTTTCCTGATGGTAACTTGTTGTGCTAACAGCAGATTCATTTGTTTCCTAATTAATCAGAAGGAGTGTTCTTTTTATTTCAGCCATCTGGTGGAGAGCATGTTGTTTAGCTTCTTGCTACTGCAAATTGGAGCTACACAGGAAAAAGGATGTTTCAACTTCTGTTTTTGGCTTGTTTTTCAAGGTTGAGTCAGTATAGAGCACGTTAAAACATACTGTAATCAGTTGCAAAGTTCATCTCTCAAGGACTGCAAAAATTTAACTAAAATTGTCCTTCCTGAAAAGACAGGGTGGTGATATTGATGATTAATTGGTTTTATTACTTGCTTTATTCTATGTAATCAATTGTTCAGACAAAAGCAAAATTTCCTTGGTGAACTGCAGAACTATTCTAGGATACCCAATTTGCTGCCACTCCATAGAGAACATTCAATGTCGCTTTTACATTTCTTCTTTGGATTAATGTCAAAAGCATATTGCCTGTCAAACAATTTGTCGTTGAGTGTGCCATTAGCTTGCTAACTCCTCACAAGGATTTTAAAACATTGCATTTTTTTCCCTCCAGAAGTCCCCTTAGCGCAGCCTTTCTTTGGAAGCTATATTGTTCTTGTGGAATATTTTCTGAGGAGCAGTCTGTCCCTATGCGATGTTTACTGTATTTTTGCCTTGCAGCCAGCAGATTTTAGTACAAACTTGCCTGGGGGTGGCCTTGTCCTATTTTCCTCTTAGATGGTTCTGGCATTTATAGAGCTTGGGAGATCGTGCTTCTGAATTTTCCAGTCTGAAGAGCTCGAGCCAAAACAGCAGGGGAGATAGCAAACCTGTACGTTGTTTGGCTTATGGCAGCTGGGCCTGTTTTTCCTTTGACCTAAAGCAATGGCAGCTTTTCTTGGGTTTTGAGTGGAGGAGGGGGGAAGTGAGGAAGAGGAAAGCTACGTGAGGAAAACTGCTTTATCTCTGTGATGGGAAAAAGCAAGCCTTATCTCTGCCTCAAAAAATCCCTCTTTTTGCACCCCTAGCCCAGGTAACTCCAAGCTGCTTTCACGTGGCACGTGGAGATTGTTTTTGTTCAAGTTATTTTATGAGTATTGATTATTCTTAAGAAAAGAGAATGTGTATTGTTTTAATATTGTATTAGCATTTTTGAAAAACAAACACTTTTTATGTTGCAGTATCATAGCCGTTGCAGAATGGACTTCATGTTAGAGGACTGGCTGCTTGGCAGTTTTTAGAGACATTTTATAGCTTCCCATCAACCTGCATTTTCTCCCTTACATCATGGTCACTGAAGTAAAATAGTCTTGCCAAGTAGGGACCAGAGTCTCCACTGGGGAGCGAATTGTGATGAATGATTGGGGGAATATATGAAATACCCTGCAGATGTGTGGCTCAGAGGATATAACTACTCTTTGGGTTTAGCCTTGTGCTTGAAGAGCCCTTCTTGTCTTTAAACACTGTCTCTGTACTCATACACTCTAAATGAGGTTTCCTGTGGAAATAAAATTTCACTGCTGCCGCCTTTGAGGTGTCACAGTCTTGTATTTATCAGCAGATGTTTCAGTTAAGTTTTGCATTTATGTAACAGAAACATTTAGTTGTGCCACAGAGTGAATTTATTTCTAGAAGAATGGGTTTGCATGTGACTGTTGGAATCCTGAACTTTTGAATTCCAGGAGACTTGAGAGTTCCCTAAAAAGTTTGTGAGAACAACAAAGAGTTGAGGCTTAGTACACACTTGAAGTGGAACACAAAAGAAAACAGCCTGTGTGTGTGAAGAGTTTCCAAGGAACTCCTAGTGATTAAACCAAATTAAAAAGTATCATATTTCCAAAGAGTGGTAAGATTCCTGTTTGGATGTCTGCACTGGCATGGGACAAATGGGTGACAGATCCTGAGCCTCCCCAAGCCAAAAATCAAGGGAAAGAAAAAATTTAATCTTTGTCAACATTTTAATGTTTTCTCCCTTTATATTGCTCCATAGTTTTTCCTTACTGATATACCTGAATCTCCACAATGCTTGTTGAGAAGCTCAAGAGAAACTCTTGTTTCTGCTGTAGTTCTGGCAAGAGGTGACAGTGCAGAAGCTGCATGGCTGCTCCTTCTGTGAGGAAGCTGTTGACCAGCTTCATAGCACAATTTTTTCCTAGAATAAGAATTTTCTTAATTGGCAGCTTTGATGAATTTCCCTCCTCCCCTCTTGTCCCCATTTGCAGCCCTCTGAGTTGGTCAGTCTTATGTACAAATCATGTCTCACCCTGAAGGGAATATTACTTGGACCTGCAGGTGGATGCAAGAAGCAAGGAGGACATCAGGGCAGGTGCATGTTACCCTAAAGGTTTCTCACTGGAATAAGAAGAGTTAGCAGAAAGTTGGTGCTGTAGAACCAGCCTCTCCAGTCTCTCTTGGCTCAACAGTGTGAATGCCTCAGGCTGTCGGAGTGGGCCAGGAAGGAGCTGAGCCTTTCAAAAAATATGCTGGCTTCAATATCATTAAGTGTGTTATGTAGGCAAGTAGCCCAGATTTGCCTAGCTGGTCTATATTTATTTTCCTCTCTTCTTTCCATTCAGCAAGTCCATGTTGTAGTCAGAGGCTTTCTTTCCTTGGTAGTCTAATTTGTTCCCAGCATCCTCACCTTTGTAAGTTTCACTCTTTGTGCATAAGGAGACAGTTTAAATTAGATACATATTAAAAAAATTATAATCCATTGTGAGGTGATAATTTACCTCATTTTCCTTTAATAATAACCTTTTTTCAATAGTGGTTTTCTTTGTTTAACATGAACTTTTTCTGCTTTTTGATGTGTTTTGTTCTACAAATCTCAGTGGGCTGTAGTGAATCCTTGTTTTACATCTTCCCTCTTTCAATGATTGTCCATATTCTGAAGGCAAAACACAAAGGTCGATGTTCTCTCTTGGACTTTAGTACTGCTCCTCATCTCAGTTAGTTTTGTCACTAAATGTAATAATTCCTATAATTTGTCTTCTCATATTTAATATTTCTTCTGTTGCCCTTAGGAGTAGATTTCCTTTCAATGTTAATCTTACTCAGGGAGGCTGTAATCATGACTTACTAATTTCTTTCTTCTTTTAATGTTCTCAAGAATGTCTTCCTTAACATTAGGTAGCAGATCCGGTGGATTTTTTGCTGGTATTAATTGCTGTGTAAGGAAGTGCCCTTGAAAGTCAGTTATGTAAATGAGCAGCCTTGAGCTGCCCATAAGAATGATGTTGGCTTGAGTTTTAATTTAATAATTGAGAAATTGGAACATAAAATGGTTCTTTAAATCTAAAATAGGATAGAGTCATATTCTTTATTAGACAAATTCTAATTGCATGGACTGTATCAGCAGTTTAACGTGTAGTTTCGGTGATCGCTTTGCGTGCAGGTGAGCACTTTAGATGGTCATTGTTGGATGGTTACTATTAGGAAAAATTCTTGTATTCAGTTGCCTTAGGTATTTTTAGGTGAGTATTCTGAAAGAAATTACTGGTTTGTTGTGGCTTTAAAACAACAAACTCAGTCTTTCTTGAAATACATTCTTAGCATCTGCATTTTTTTTTCCTTTATTAAGTTAGTGATCATAAAAGTCGCTGTAAAAGTTTCTTGTATTTTTCCTGGAGATGTGGCATACTTGAATCCCTTGGCTTATTAAAAAGTCCCTGAGTTCTGGACAGTGGAGGGTGGATACCTCATGTCTGTTTGAGTAAAGGTTAATATTTATTATTATGCATAATATATGCAAAAACCAGTGGATGTGAAGTTATTTGCAAATACAGGCTTGGCAAACCTCCTCTGGAATTCGGAAAGGGTTTTCCAGCTCGACTTAGTCATTTTTTCCCAAATGTCTTGGCATAACTGATCACTCAGGAGTGACATATGGTAGAAACATGCTCTAAGGGACAAGTCTCCCGGATGGCGCACAGCACCACACAAGATAGACAGATGGTGGCTTATTCAACCTTGGAAAAAGTTTAATCCTACATATTGGCACGTCGGCCTGGGTACCGAGAGAGAGGCACACACATGCCTGTGAAATCTGAGGCAAAGCTTTTGTGAGTTTGCTTGCTGTCACTGAAGGAACTAGAAAGACTGAGCTGATACTATACCCAAGGAGTATCTGCAAAATTACGGGCTCACCGTGCTCTCCAGGAAAAGTGATGTTCCTTAGAAAAGTGGAAACTCCAGAGCCAGCAGGACAATGCAGAGAATAAGATTTGGTGAACTTCTCACAGCTGTTTCCAGCCTAAAACATGCTGTTTCAACAAAGCTGCTGAGTACTTAACTTATTCACCAATAGCTGTTGATTAATTGAAGTGTCTAGTAGGAGAAAAGGGTATTTTATGTTTTTCATAGTTTTAGTTCTGTTTCAAGAGTTGCTACTACTTTGTGAATTGTATTGGTGCTTCACATCAGAGAAACTGTAGCCTTTCTCTTCCACAGGTTGTAACAAAAAGTTAGAAATTCCCTGATGGTAATTCCAAATTTATAGCCGAATATGCAAAGAATTGCAAGTTTTTAAAAATTTATTTATTTTATTTTTTATTAATTTATATTTATTTATATATTTATTTTTAATAAGGAGAGGGAATCAAACCTTTCACTTTAATATCTTCATGTCTAAGATAGTGAAGAGAGAGAGAGAGACAGAATATTTAACATGGAAAAATAAATCTGCTTTGAATTCTTTCTGGAAACCAAGTAGTGATTGATTGATTGATTGATTGGTTGAACTTCTGGAGTCAGGGCCATTTCCTGTGAGGATTTTGAAAATACTGACCAACTGAAAATATAAAGGATTGGTTGCCAAACTTTTTTTTCCTCCACTTTCTTTTTCTTGTAGATCGCACTCAATATTCACAACTAGAAGGAAAAGCAAGACTCTCCTGACTCTCTGGACTTCAAGGATATCATTATGTTGTATTGGATGAGTTTAAACTAGACAAGACTTCTTTCTTAAACACTTCGAGAAAGGTAAATGTAATTCAAACAAACTAATCTTTTCCCATAGGTAGAGGAAAAGTTAGGTCATATTAATCCCATTCTAGTAACATTTCAACCATACTACACCACAGAATCATCATATTTTGGATACTTTGTATAGATATAGATACCCATATTAAAAAAAATAAATTAAAAATAGTGTGTGTGTATATATATATATTTATATAGCTATACCTTCCTGGTAATTTTTAGATGTTAAAAGATTTTGATTTGTCAGCCCTTGTATATTTTGAGGAAATGTACCGGTTTCAAGCCATTCTCTTATATGAAAGAAGGAAGAGGAAAGACAAGGGAGATGTCCACAGTAGCCAGCCTGTTGGTAATTACTTGTATGGATGGGGAAGACCCAGTTAATGTTTCTGTTCTGCCTAATGAGTAAAATTACTTGAAAAGGAGATCCTAGCTAGTGAACTATAAAGTCAAATGACTGAAGCAGTACTGATTGACACATACATTTAAAATATGGTGTGGTTTGGGAGACCCAGAGGGAGCTGCAAAGAGAGAGGCTAATTAAATAACCTGTTGTTTAGGATATGCATTGAAGAAGCAAGAGATGTCAAATCCTTAAATTCAGCTGAGGGTGCTCTTGTGTAATATAAATATTTGCTTACTTTTGGCCTAGTATAAGCAGAGATTTACTCTTCCTCTGGATATGAGTACCCATCATGTATTTTTCTGTCACCCTTTTCTTTCTTTTGCTGCATGTCATTGTGAGAAATGCTGACCATAGGTAGCCAAGCCCGAGAGCCTACAGAAATTGTTGCAGAACTACTGTGCCCTTTTTATTTTTTCTATTTCCTATTCTTTGTTTTTTAGTAATTTTTCTATTACTATAGGACTTAGTAAATAAAAATTTTAATAAGTCTATTTTGTGCCCAAGTGCAGTCAGAAAAATGTGACAGACGTTAGTTTACTCCCTGTCTAGACCCTGCAAGAGTTTCTCATACACTTCACAGAAGCAGTGAGTATTTCTGTGACCCTCTGTGACACAGTCCTGCCTCAGTGTCAGCAAGCATGCCTGTGGGCCTTACAAACATCACGTATTTGTGAGAGACAGAGCTCCAGTCTGATGAGATGATTAAAATTCTGCAGATCCACAGCTGACACCTTTTTGACCCAGATCTGAAGTTCAGACTTGGAAATACTTCAGTCCCTTGAAATTTTAGGTCATGCTTCATAGAATTGCTGTTTTCATAATTTATAGGCTGTGTGTGATGGTATCATTGTTGAGTCGCTGAGCGTCGGTGTGTGTGAATCAGCCATCTCCTGTCAGGGCTGAGTCTTGTATCTCCCTGGCCAGTGACAGGGGAGGTCATTACACGATGACGAGACTCTGTCAGGTGGGAATGGTTCAAGGTAACAACGTGGCTGTGTCCGAAACAAGTCACTTCTGCTTCCTGGTAGTAATGACATTTAGAGGACTGAGGCAGAGGACGGGGAGTTCTCATAGAGGAACGGAGACTTTGTGAAGACAGAGAAGGGAAGGGTTTGCAAGTTTAGGAGGAACAAAGGCTGCCTTTTGTAGCAGGGTTTTGAGTTATTTATGGAACCAGATGAGGAATAGAGAAACTTTCTGCACAGAAGAAAAGCAGACTTCAAGATCTGGAAGAGAAGCTGCATTGAGTTCTTAGGCCACTGACCTAAGAGTGAATAGAGAAACTTTCTGCACAGAAGAAAAGCAGACTTCAAGATCTGGAAGAATCTGCACTGAGTTCTAGGCCACTGACCTAAGAGCGGTAAGGAAGGAGATACAAAATGCACGTGGTCTCATTTTATTTTGTCTAGACTTGCATACCTTGTACACTTCCCAAGTAGAGAGTGATTCGGTATTTTGGAACTTGTACAAAGCTTCTGCATGTTTTGCTTCAACCAGTGAATGTCCTGGAAACCCAGCATACCCTCAAGGTTAGATCCTTGTGTTAAACTTGCTGTAAAATTTGGGCAGGATGTAGGTTAGCACTAATGATGGGATCCTGTGCCATCTTGCTCTGCCAGGGCCTGTTTCTTTGGAGATGCAGTAATCAATACCAAGGAAAAGTAATGCAGAAACTAAGAAAATTATTTAGCAGGAAATAACTGATTCAAACCATTGGAGACCAAAGATGGTTGGGAAGAGCCAGACACAACTGTATGTGGAGCAGTGGGGATTTTACCATACAAGTTTCTGCAAATTGCTGCCAGGCTGTTGAGAGCTGAAGTTAAGGTTGAGCTGAAACATTAAAGACTAGGACTAAGACATCTTGCTGCACATCTCATGGAATACATTTAGGCTTTATTAGCTGCAGCTGATTAAAAAATGTACTCTCAAAAGGTGTAGCCAAACAGGAGGAAAGAACAATTTAAAAATCCTCATCTATGCATTAATCCTGTGGTAAGAAAATGTGAAGATGTAATTGTCTTCTATACTTCCCTCCACCTTGTTGGGAGAATTTTTTTTAGATATTAATTTCTAATTTAGTACTTAGTCTCCTTTCTTTTTCCTCCCCCTCCAAAAATCTCCTCAGACCCTGATGGTTTAAAAATGATACCATGCAAAATTGATGTAACTATGTGTAGGTTGTGATGTGCCTTGGAGGTGTGATGTACCTGTCTTAAAATCTTAAAAGCAGGTAAAGCTGGAAATGGCTGCATTCACTTTTATGCTGTCTATCCCCCTTTGTTCTCTCTCCCTCCCCCTTCTGCTTGTGCTCACTTGCTCTCTCTTTAGTATAACACAGTTGAACAGCAGTGAAGTGTAAAATGTGCTTTTGCCAAGGTCAGTTTCTTGTGATTACTCGCCTGTGGCAACTTATGCCAGTTGCAACAGACTGAGTCTCAGCAGTCCACAAAGTCACACTGGTGCTTATGCAGAGGACACCCAGTGTAGGTTACAGTAACCGTAGTCTGGAATAGCTCACGATGCTGCTGAATTTTAGCTGCTTTATTTAACTCTTCTGATCTGGCTTGTTCTTGCTTCGGTGGTTTGGAGTCTGTGCCATGAAACACTGGGCTGTCCTGGTTCTCTGGAGACCCTTGAGGAGGAGTTTGGGTAGATGAAATTCTTGTTGTTAGAGGTTGTTTCTTTTCTTATAATGGATGGCTCAAATTTCAGAATTTCTCATAAATGAAGAGAAGATGCATCATGAACACATGCATCTTCTAAATATTACCCATATTTTTTGTGATTGGCTTGCTTTTGGGTGAAGTTCTATCAAATACTGCCATATTGACATTGACACAAGAGAAATTGTTTATCTGCATAGCAGGAAATACTATGAAAATTTTAAGAGGTAGTTTTTAAGCAAGAATTTAAAAGATGAGGAGACAGTCTTAAATGTTGTGCACACTCATATGCATAGAATAATTTTTTTGTTTAGAAGATAAAAATAATTTTGACTACTCAGACAGGGGAATGTGAGTGTGAGATTCCAGAACATTCACTTTAGTAGATAAGATTTGTTGGATCCCATTTTGTTGTATACACTGGATTAGCTACCACCATGTGGAAATAAAGGTAAGGGACCTTTCCTTTCATTCTCCTTTCTCACATATGAGCAAACATATCCCTTTATGGAAAAATGTTGTATTTAGAACAGAAAAGCATGGACCTCCTATATTGTTTGCCTATTTGTACTATCAGCAATATACAGGATTTTGTTTTCCTTCTGGAAATATTTACTTTTGGAAGAAGTATTTAGCTCTTGAGCTGTGTGATAGTGACTTTGAGGATGCTTGCCTGTCAGTACTGACTAGTAGTGAGGCAGTACGTAATCTTGATGATTGACTGAAGGCCTAGATCTGAACTTTGGCAACCTCAATGAAGTTCAAAATTTCATAGCTTAAAATTTATTATGCATTTGATTAATTTTGAAAATATATGTTGCTGTATTCTCTCTCATGTTTGCTTTGGAATGATTCCTGAGCCACAAGTAAAATAATGGTTCAGCGATCCAGTCGTGTCCTGTAAACACCTTTGCATAAAGCACGCAGGAATATTCTTGTGCTCAGTGAAACTCCCGACAAAACAAGGTGAAATGCTTAATCCTATTTCAGTTTATGAGTCTTGTTTTCAGTCTTAGAAGGAGTGGTTTTTGTCAAGGAATATGTTACTCGTTGCTTTTTTGCCTACATGGAGGACATTTAAATCAGTATTTTGTTTCAAGACTGACATTTGCTTGTATGGTTTTCATAATTTATATAATTCCATAATTACATATAATTCCATTCCAGCCCCTTCCCTTTGCTTTTAATAACATTTGTATTGGCCCAGCTCTTATGGAAGAATATGCTTCAAAGTCTGTGTTCAAGACTTTGTGAAGATTGATCTGTCTACTCCCCTTTAAGCTGGAAATTCATGGTAGAAATAAGCAATGTTTTGTGTGTGTGTGATGGGGTATAGAGGCCTGTAGTACTTGCAGTGATTAGTGTTGTCTTCTAATTGTTAGAGCAACATTGAAAATGAGTGTTCCCTATAGGAAGAAATAGCTGCACTAGAAGAAGCTGGTCTTCAGTCAGCTGAAAAATGATCAAGTGGGTGTTCCTGGGTGAGGTAATACCCACCCAAAAAAGTGGCATTGTCTGTGCTTACCAGAACCTGCCACATTAATTTCCTTCTATCTTAAGGAACTTGTGGAAAGGAAAGAACTTTTGAGGCACCAAAGTTTTTTTTGGAACATTTCCAATGACGTAGGTCCCTGCAGTGGGCTGCTGCTGCATGCTCCAGGGATTTCCTCATCAGTACGTTCAGCACGAGCAGGCAGGTGACAATTGAGATGGAAGGAATCTTCTCACACCCCTGAACCCATTCAAATCTCCATGCTGAGCTCCTCAGTAATTTTTAAAAATTCATTAGATCTTCACTATTTCTCACATTCTCACCTCCTGGATTCTGGCTGATAACAGAAATGCATTGCTGCACACATTAAGGGTAGATGTTGTGGGGGGGGTTGGACAAGTGACATTCTGGATTCTGTGAAATCTTGAAAGATTTG